TTGTGTGGTGTTGGAGCTGCAGTGTCACATGTTAGGACTTCTGCTGGTGGCATCCTCAGAAAAGGGAAAGCATCCCTGGGAGGCATCCTCTTGATGCTTTCACTGCAGTTTGACCAACTGTCGTTTGCATGGGCCCACGTTAATGGGTTTAGGGATTATGCTTTCCAAAGAGAGTCAAATGCCTACCTTATCTATAGATAAGATGCTAATGATTCCTACAAAGAAATTGAGCTAATGCAAGGTCAGGAAAGCACGAGAGTGGCAATGGGTCTGCTTCTCTAATCCTCATCTGAGCTCTTTGCCAGTCCACATCTTCCTGCTATGTAATCTATAATAGTCTGCAGGGCATGGTAGAGCATGGCTGTGATCCCAGCACCCTGGGAAGCTGAGACAGGAGGATTGTAAGTTTGAATATAGGTGTGGAGTTTAGTGAGATTTTGTCCAAAGTAAACGAACAAACAAACAAACCAAAATGCAGAAAGGATTGGGGATGCAGTTCAGTGCAAACCACCCCACCCTCTCGTATTGGAAAAAAAAAAATTTCCATTCTCACTACCAGTACATTTGCCAATGATTTTTCTTCTTTCTGTATATGATGTTATTTTTATGTAACCCTACTATTTTCAGTTTCAGACCTTAACTTCACCTAGCATCACCCCAAGTGCCTCTTCTGCCTGCTTGAAGGTATGACTAACATCACGTGGCATGTGCTTCTAGTGGGGTGTCCGACAGGCACAGGGGTCTCCCTGTGGCCATTATGTGTGTATAATACAGGTCTACCTAGCTATCTAGAGAGAAGTGAATCATTTATTTATCTTATATTTCTTCAGAAAGTGCAGCCTGTCAGTCAGCTTTGGAGAAAGGTTTTTAGAATTTTCTGGGTCCTCCCATGGCGGAGGACACAAGAGGCCCTGGCAGGTGGAGAGACAGCTACAAGCTATCACTTTGCTATTCCCTGGCAAGCTTCTGCTTTGTTTTTCCTTTTGCATTTACTGCTAATATCATTATGCTAATGACACATACCAGACCACATACCAGACCTTGTACATTTCTTCAAAACAAGGAAGGGGAATCAGAATAGAAAATCAGGAACAAATAACCCACTTGGGGTAAGGCAGCATACACATGTATGAGGAGTTGAAGAAAAGTGATGCTTTTCAGTGAAGTGTCAGTCCACAAAGGTGATTGGAGCCTGTTTCCACTTTTTTCATATATACAAATCACATATCAATCATACTTTATTTATTCCCTATATCATTTTGTACTTTCACTTAGAAAACACTCATCAGACATTTGATATTTGTGGTATTAATAGGGTGGAAAAAAATAGGGTGGAATGCACAGTAAAATATGTACTCTCCAGAAAAGAAGCAGGTGTTCATAATTCACAGTGTGATTATCTACTGTGAAAACTCAGAAGAATTAGTAAATATTTACTAGAATTGGCCGGAAATTATTTCCACATTGGTTGATTTGGAGGTAGTATGCCAGAGTGAGTTGATTTTCTCTAGAGGTTTACTGGGCTGAAATGGTAGTTTCCAAAAGATAGGTGCATATCCCAATGCCCAGAACTTGTAGACGTTACTGTGTAATAGAATGAGTTACATCTTATATAGCAAAATAGGTGTTTCTGGTTTTTGGAGTGTCATTAAATTCATTGGGCCTTAAATTCAATGACAAGAGAGGCAAAGGAAGATTAGCTGTGCACAGGAAACGATGTGAAGACAGCAGATTCTAGACAAGGCTGCCAGGGCGACCACTGGAAGCTGAAAGAGGCAAGGAAGAATTCTCCCTTAGTGCCTCCAGGAAGACTATCTCAGAATAAAAAAGAAAAAGGACTGGGGATGGAGACCCGTGGTAAAGTTTCTCTGGGTTTACTCTCCAGTGCTGGGGTGGGGTGGTGGTGGTAGTGGGGTGTGTGTGTGTGTGTGTGTGTGTGTGTGAACCCCAGAGAGAGCACAGCACTGCTGTGTCTTACATTTCTAGCCTTTATAGTCTGACAGAATTTTTCTCTTTTAAAACTACAAGGTTCGGGGCCAGGGAGATGGCTCAGTGGAATAAGCGCTTCCCCGGCAAGTGCAAGGGCCTGAGTTCAACCCCCAGTTCCACCAAAAAAAAAAGATTAAAACTACAAGGTTCATGGAAATTTTTTATGGCAAGCTCAGGAAGCTAAGATGTAGGACAGAGTGTGCGTGTGCTCTGGCACCAGGGGCCTTGCCTCCAATTTTGACTTCACAGGTTACTAGTTGTGTATTTTTAGGCACACTGTTTCACCTGACATGGCCTGCTATCATGGTAGAGCAGTAGACTTGTGCCTGGCATGTTGTGTACATGGAATATTCGTTGCTGTTATTGACATTGTTATTACTACAATTACTATTACCACCAGCAACAGTTAGAAAGTATACCATGAAAAAGATATTTAAGCCAAGCTTGGTAATGCATACCTGTAATCTCAGCACTGGGGAGGCTGGGGCAGGAGGGTCACTGAGAATTCAAGGCCAGCCTGGGCTCCAAAGTGAGTTTGGGATCAGCCTGAACTACATAATGAGACCCTGACTCAAAGAAAAAAGGAAAAAGATATTTAATATAACAAGAATGAATAAAAGTGTCTCAGTTACTTTTCTCATTGCTGAGACAAAACACTCATCACCCAAAGTTAAAGGAGGAAAGGTTTAATTAGCTCACAGTTTGTAGAGGTTTCAGTCTGGTTGGCTGACTCTAAGGCAGGGGTTGGCACATGGCAGAAGGGCAACGGTTCATAGCAGCGGAAGACAGCAGAAGCAACAAGAGAGAGTGAGACAAGCCTCTTTCTGTCATTTATATTGCATCCAGTCTACCAGGATTAGGCAGTACCAATCCAGTCAGTAGTTTGGTCCAGCAATCACCCACCCTTAATCCCAGCATTGCACTGCAAATCAATCGCACAGTCTAGCCACCTCTGAAAAAGCTGGATGACCACGTGAGGCTTTGGGGGGCTATCTAAACATAAACCATAACAAAAAGGTATTTGGGAATAAATATAGTCTAGTCTTTATGTGCTAGATATAGTTTTGCTAAAAGGTGTTGAAGACCTAAAAAGAGACATATTATTTCCATGAATAGAAGTGCTCATAAAGACATAAATTAATCTATACTTTCAATGCTTTAAGTTTTAAAAATGTTTGTTAAGGGCTGGCGAGATAGCTCAGCAGACTAAAGGCAAGAGCAGGGCCCCCAATTCAATCCTGGGCACCACATTCCGCCTGCCCCTGGGGCGGGCTGAGTCAGTCAGAATCAGCTTGGTGACACATGCCTGTAATCCCAGTGCTGAGGAAGCTGAAAGCAGGAGGATCACTATGAGTCTGGGCTGTGTAATGAGACCCTGTAACAACCAAATACATTAATGTGTGTGTGTGTGTGTGTGTGTGTGTGTTAAAAAAGATCATGCAGGTAATTATACAAGAAACACCAAGCCACATATTTAACAATGATGTCTGAAAGATAAATGCTGTTTATATAGGTAATGTATATATTTTCTTCTATACAAATCTAGAATATAGTATTTAGATTTCTCAGAGTAAATAAAGTTTCTTTGGGGATGTAGGATGGGTACTGTACCAGTAAGGATCTTTGCAGTAAAGAAGAAGTAATTTGAGTTGATAAAGGACGCCTTTACAAATGTGTAGGGAGGGTGTAGGGATGCATAAGGGATAGAACTAGAGGTAATTGATACCCTTCTAGGCTTAAAAGGGGTGAGAAGAAGGAGTTATTATGGGAATGAAACAGAGTCAGAGGAGGATATCTGACAGGAGTGGTGACATTTAGTCAAAGAGTGACTCTATCTTGAAGTGTCCTACAGAGCGCCAGGAAAATAAAGTTCTCGAACCTTCCACCTCTCCATCTGATCTCTTGCTGGTGCTCTTCATTGGCTGAATTCCAATAGAAACGTAGGGCAGGTACAGGGAATCTGTTGGTGCTTGTTAACCTTCTAGTGCACAGACAGCAAGAAAGAGTCTGTGGAAGCTCTCAATCAAGAGGACGTATTAGAAAGCAGGGTAATTTTATAAAGCTCCCACCAAGCCCCTTTAGATAAGCTTCTTTGGGTAGTGCAAAAAGTACCATTCCCTTCTCACCCAAACTTTGGCAGAGAATTACTACAGTGTGAGGAGTGATGATCGTTGTGTTAGCTGTGTGTAAGGAACAGAAAATGTTGAGGACCACTGGTCTAGAAGGAAGGCACTACTGTTTCCTTTAAACGTTTTCTTTTTGCAAATGGACTGTAGATTGGAGCTGAGTCACAGGAGGAACAGAAAATTTTGCTGTAGATCTTGAAAGTACTCCCTGAGCTTGGAAGATCAGGTGAGCTAGGAGTCAGCTCATAAGCAGAATCTAATTATCCTTGAACACAAGAGGTCACTTTCTCAGTGGCCTGGTGGGAAACCTCATCATATGTGGAAACAGATACACTGAGAGTCCCTGGAGACCTGATGTCTGAATAGTGCTTGTACTACTCACAGGCAGGAAGTCCCATGTGCAGCAGTAATTATAATCACAAACAGGCCTATAAAGCCAACTGCCTTGCCAATGAGACCATTTAAAATATTGGAAAATATACTCTAGCATTTATGGACTCTGGATCAATCCCTAATATTATGTGTTCTCCCTAATTTGAAAACCTAAAATTTCTTTTTTTTTAATTCAATAAATTTTTATTTAAGGAATAGGTTATTTTAATGAGGTTCTTTGTTTACAGGATCGCCCTTTTGAAAAGAATTGATGCTTAATCCCATCATTCCATCTGCCCTACATAGGCATATAAAAGCAGTTACATAGTCATCAGTGAGTTCTGAAGGCAGCCTAGATCCTCTACTTGTAAATGATTAGCAACTAAAAAGGATAACAGTGTAGATTAACTAGGGAAAGCAAGCCTTCAGAGATCTAAGCATGCCAATGGTAAGAGTAAGAATTTTAAACGTGGCTATTGTAAGTAATATCAGGCCATGCTCACCCATGCAATGTAATGTTTTCAAGAAGTTGCTTGCTAATGAGGTAGAAGAGAGAAAACTTAGTGAGGAATTTTTTTTTAATGGTCATCTCCACAGCAAATGAAAAAACTTCATTCCTTAAGCCTTGGTAATGACCCAAATCTGCAGTTTCTAAAAATGAAAATAAAGTCAAGTGGAGAAGTGTCAAAAACTCTATCCAGCTTTATACAAATCAAAATGTTTCTCCTTTTTATAATAAAATGTTTTTGAAAAAACCTTAGCCATATGAATGGCAGATTGCTCGGTCCTAGGGCAGCACTGAGGAATGAATGGAATGTACTGAATTTAGGTCAGGGTTATACTTTAGTGCTGCTAGGGAAAGAAGTGTCAGGTTGAGAAAGTAATTAACTTATTGTGTGCATTAAAACAACACTTGAAGGCAACTGACTTTAGAAAGGACAAAATAATCAGTGCAGCCTATGATGTTACTTTAGTTTAAATGCAGGCTGCCCTGAAGCTCAAATAGAGATAAAGAGAATGGGAGGATGAGTTAGGACTTTCATTGAAGTCCTAACTTCAGACATTGTGAAGGCTCAGGAGGTTATCCAGCCTACTCCAGCCTTTGGCAGAATTACAGTTAACCAGCCCAGGCCAATGGCAATCCATCCTTTTTCTAATATTACCCACTCAAGAAATGTGGTAGCACCTTTTCTGTATCTTATTACCTCAGTTGAAGTTCTCAGAAGATATATGGATATAGTAACAAAAAGCATAAGACGGTGCACCAACCACCCCCATCACAAAGGGGACAGTGTTCATGACCATTTGTCAGTCACTCCAAATCAGATAGCAATCCCTGGTCCTTCCCCAGCCAGCTGCACAAATCATTTGCCTCCATTCGTAGTCTTTCCTTATCCTTTGTTTTTATTTTTTAAATTTTTGGTACAGGGTCTCACTACACAGTTCAGACTCGCAGTGATCTTTCTGTCTCAGCTTCCCCAGTGCTGAGATTACAGGTGTGTAGCACCACTCCTGTTTTTGGGGGTTGGCATGGTGTGCCTGGAGACCCAGGGCCAGCATAGTGTGTGGTACCAAGTATTGAACCTGGGTCCTTGTGCTTGCCAGGTGGGCACTTAGACTACTGAGCTATTTCCCCCGCCTTACCTGTCCTTTGGTCACTCTGTTTTCTCTGATTCAGAATCTCTAGTTGATTTTATACAGCATTCTTTTTTCTTTGATTTATTTCTGGTTTTGCTTCTTTTTTTTTTTTTTTTTTTTAACCAGGGATTGAACTCAGGCCCTTGTGCTTGCCAGGGAAGCGCTTATTCCACTGAGCCATCTCCCCAGCCCCATGGTTTTGCTTTTTGATGAAGGGTCTTGCTATGTAGTCCAGGCTGGATTTGAGCTTGTTTGAGATCCTCCTGCTTCAGTCTCCTGAGTACTGAGATTACAGGGGTGCACTGACATGCCTGTGTCCCTAAAAGATTCCTTATTGCCCTGGGGGTAGAAAAGCATTTATGACAGACCACAAGGGTGTTGGCAGCACCATGGACAGTAGCCCACCAAGCAAAGG